CCCCCCCCCCCCCCCCCCCCCTTTTTCGAACGATCACAACTTCAAACAGGTTCGTTTTATTGCTTTGCTTGAACGTATAATGGTTCGTGTAGATCTTGTCGGGGGACTATCTTTTTCCAATGACATGATATCAGAGAATATGTCAAGTTCAAGGTCTCGCTATGCGGTCAAATATAGGTCAAAATGAAAATCTCAAAACAAGATAAACTTTTATCACATCTTTAAGAGCATGTTCTAATAAAGGTACTTCCAAAGCTTCAAGGTCATACATTGTAGCATCAAAAATGATGAAGATATGCCTCTTTGAAATTGTTCATTTGAAATATTGCACTAAAAACTCTTCTGCTCCATAGCAATGACACATAGAGAGATGATATTTGGCACATTCATGAAATGTATGCTTTGCTCCAAGAAAAAACAACCAAAAAAAAGCGTTGACCTTTATTCGAGGTCACAGGAGTCAAATGATCAAAATTTTAAAATTTCTAAATTATTTCTGCCAGAGAAGGGAAGCGAAGAGAAACGTATAAAAGCGATCGTCAGTCCGAGAACATAACTTTGAACATTTTCTTGTTGGAAATCCCGTGTATTGATCTTGACCAAATCTAGTGGTATTTAATTTCATGCTACTAAATTTGTTGACTGAAATTTCATGCCACTAACTTCATGCTTCAGTTTCATGTCAGCAACTCTACAAATTACAGCAATGTCACGTCAATAACTGTATGTAGTACAGAAATGTCAGTAATTTCACGAATAACAGGAATGTCACGTCAATAACTGTATGTATTACAGCAATGTTAGTAATTTTACAAATGACAGCAATGTCACGTCAATAACTGTACGCATTCCTACAGCAATGTCAGTTATTTTACAAATTACAGCAATGTCAGTAATTTTACAAATTACAGCAATGTTATGTCAATAACTTTATGTATTACAGCAATGTTATTTCACTAACGTTACATTAACTCTATGTACATTTGTTACACTGCAATGTAAGCCACTTACATTGTGCTACAATTTCATGTCAATAGCTTTATACATATAACAGCAATGTCATGCTATTAACTTTACAGATTACACCAAATAATTTCATTGTCTTTCATTATGTTGTTACATAACAACAACGTCATGCCACTCTTCATAGTGTAGTAATGTCATGCCACTTATTTAGCTTATCACGAAAACGTCATGTCACTAGTTACTTTATGCTGCAATGTTATGCCAATAACATTATGATGCAATTTCTTGCCACTTACATTATGCTGCCACGTCAAGTCACTAACTCTATGATGCAATGTCATGCCTGTAACTTCACATGTTACAGCAATATAGATGTATTTTCATGCCACCAAATATATATATCAGTACAACGTATGGCCACTATATTAAAGCTATATTATCATGTCACTGACTAGATAGAGTTATCTCGCTACATGTATGTATCCACTTCACAATAAAACCTGGGGTTAATAGTTTACTAATAAACAATAGCTGACTAACGGAACTTTGCTCGGCAAACGTTCAGAGGTTAACAGTCAACAAATATGAGCTTATTTTAAACAAAAGGAGTTTTTGTTGAGTTGAGTGCTGATCACTTTGCCATCGTTTGACGAAATCGGACTAAGTTTGTTTATCCTCACGTTTCTAAGTGTTTACAAGTACTCCTTAAGTGTCCAACTCTCCTTCACTACTCGAAACTTCCAGTTGTGTTGGGGAATTCCCCTTGCTTCAGCAACATCACCCACACATCTTACATAACCACTTGCTGATCGCTGTCCCATATCCGTTCACCAGCGTATATTATGTGTGGTGAATTCAGTGACGTTGATCGATTAGGTGATTGGTTTATGTAAAGTCAGTNGCAACCCCCCCTTAACCTACGGCCCCATATCTACATGTATACATCATGTGGGGGTTTTTGCGTGTAACGTTATCAATTTTAGTGTTAACGACTGAATTATCTCCCCCAGTTTCCAATAGGTGTATAAATATGGACAAATAGTGGACGACTAGTGGACAAATAGTGGACAAATATGGACAAATAGTGGACAACTAGTGAACTAATATGGATAAATATGGACAAATATTGGACAAATATGGACAAATATGCACACAGGTGGACAAATAGTGGACAAATAGTGGACAACTAATGGACAAATAGTGGACAAATGTGGACAAATGATGACAAAAAAACCGGTCCAAATACAATGCAGAATTAGCAGTATCTGCATATTTTTACATCAAAAACGATTATTTCGTATTTTTATGTTTTGAATAAGTTTAGTCTCAAAATACAACCTTTTTATATTCCTTTCATAAGCTTCCGCTGGATTTACAGTTGTAAAATTCGGCGAACGACTTCTGCTGCTTGACAATCCAATGAAAACAGAAGTTTTTTTACCTAATGTTATGTATTGGTTTCGCTTCAGTCAGAGTTCGTTTCTTCCACAATGTGAAAGAGAGTTTAAAAGTGAAAGTACATACTATTTTTTACATAACACGACGAATCATGTCATATTGATGACAAAAAGAGGACAAAATATGCACAAATGTTGACCAAAAACAATACTGAATCAACATGTTTTTATATCAAAAGCGATTCTTTGGTTTAAAAATACCAAAGGGTTATGTGAAATTAACATTGATTTCCCGATAAATGTAGGAAACGTTCGTATACGGAGCTTTTACATTGAGTCGTGCGTCGTTAAGATAGCATGCGGGCATTGAGAAGACTTTAAACCTTTAAAAAATGAAAACAATTCTGTTTTATGTTGCTTTTTATCTTCTAATAACCATTCAAATCAATTTCATTTCACATTTATCGTTTTATGAATGACAAAACAACACTAAATTAAACTAAAGGACAATTTTTATTTAAAAAAGCATTAAAAAAATACATTACATAGGCTTACCGTTTTACAATACTACACCATGTGTTGTAAGAGCGACGTAGTACTGGAATAAAATAAAAATAACACTTTTCAGTTCAGACAAGGACGCAACACCACCTGCTACAACACCTTACAGAGCACCGACACACTCACTTCCTACACGAAAAAAAGGTCATCTCGATTTACTACCAAACTAGAAAACATTGTAAATATGCCGTGAATTTTATATATTGTAAATAGCGTATGTTGTAACTATTTATTGTTTGTAAATATGTTTTATGCATAAGATTATCAAGGAAAATGAAAATGTATGGTTTAAAAGACCAGAAAAAGAGGAGAAAAGAAAAGAGAAAAAAACAACAACAAGGAAACAGCGTCGCCGAGAAAGAGAAAACCTTAAATCAGAAGGTAAAAGTTATAAACAAGGGAAGATATCGATTGATGATGGTGACGTCACATTCGACGATCGTGACGTCATTTTAAGCTTCTTGTACGACTTTGACAAGCTTATACTAACCATCCAGTCACCTCCGCCAACGCCTGCACAGGTACAGCAACATAAAGAAAACAACAAAAGCAAAAGAGAACGACAGACAATCGGTAACAACAGGGACCGCTTCAAGAAACAGCACAGACAACGCATGTACAGACAAAGACACGCACATAATCTACACTACCCTGTAAGGATATTGTCCGAAAAGATTATGGAATCACTTATCTTACTGTTTTATTATACCGTTAGCTAATGTATTATTGTGAATTGTCTGCGTATTAACTATATTTTTCCAGTTCAAACAAAGGACGCAACACCACATGCTACAACACCTTCCAGAGCACCAACACGAACACTTCCTACACGTAAAACGGTCATCCCATCGTGCGTATCGGCTCGTTCAGCATGAAAGTTTGACGAAAAATGTCTATTTTTACGTTAAAATATCGATAAATTAATCATTTAATTCATTTCAGAAGATAAAATACTTAATTTGTAAGGAAAAATAACACTTTTTAATGTTTTTTTTTCTCTGTAATGTTTTTATTGTATGAAAAAAATAGACCAAAATCAATTACGGTAGAAGGGAAGTAACTCTTATACTCGGTTATGACGTCACACTAACGGTAGTTGATAGGACACCAGGCTTTGAGGGCGATAAGCAACGATTATCAGGTATTTTCTTTACTTTAAAACGTATTTCATGAGATTTCTTACTATTTCTTGAACCGTAACTGTTTTAAAGCTATAGAATAGCTAGAAATTGTTAAATAACTTCAGCTACAAGTTAACCGGCAATAAAAAATAATACTATTTCACCTGTGGTAAGCAGATTTGGTGTACAAGGACATCTTGGGATGGGGATGCAGAGTACAAGAAGAATGTCACTGTGACCTATGACGTGACCTTTGACCTTTACTTATGAAAATGTTTGTCCCGGGCATATCTTCTATATTATTTCACCTAGAGTAGCCAGGTTTGGTGTACAAGGACATCTTGGGATGGCAGAGTGCAAGAAGAAGGTCACTGTGACCTCACTGTGACCTATGCTTTGTACTGTTTGTTAAATATAGAAATCCTTACTGGTGGGGGGCTATGGATTGCCTTGCAATACTTTGCCTTGTTACAAATATAATATAAAATACATAATATATTACTGTACATGATTTATAACTCAATATGCAGGTGAACGTAGCAGACTAAAAGCAGATGCTGTGCCATCAGTTTTTTCCATTTAAAGATACCAGTATGGAGGAGAGTCCAAGACAAAAGCGACTGAAAACGAGGGAAAACAGATCTGCCCTACAGCCTGAACAAGACAGTCAACCACCAGATCATGTTCAAAGCGAGGTGGTTATTGAATCATCTGAAATATCCAGGGCCGATACTTTTTCTACATGTTTAACATCTACGTATACTCAGAGTACACAATATGAAATCAATTCACTTGGAATGTTTTCGGTTGATTTTTTTCGTAGTAATGCTAAAATGATGAACTATTATACAGGTTTTGTTGATTTTGCTCAGTTTATGCTATTTTATCAATGTCTTGGTCCCTGTGTCAATGAGCTCTGTCACCAAGGTTCCTTGTTAGATCCTAGAGACCAGTTGTTTATGGTCCTCATGAAACTTCGTCAAGCAAAAGAGGATGTTGAATTGTCCTTGTTTTTCAAAGTATCTGAATCCACAGTATCAAGAATAGTTGTTACCTGGATCAATTTTTTATATTTTCAACTTAAAGAGTTAGACATTTGGCCTTCAAAGGAAATTATTAAAGAATATATGCCTTCAGATTTTCATAGGAAATTTCCAAACACTAGAGTAATTTTAGATGCCACTGAATTACCAATTCAAAAACCATCAGATGTTAATGCACAGAGTGCAACTTGGTCGTCATACAAGCATAAAAATACGCTCAAAGCAATGATAGGTTGTACACCAAGAGGTGTTGTAAGCTTTGTATCTGACGCTTATGGCGGGTCTGCAAGTGACAGGCAAATTATTGAAAATTCTTCATTACTAAACGAAAGTGTGTTTGATAAAGGTGACAGTATAATGGCTGATCGTGGGATAATGGTTCAGGACCTCTTTGCTACTAATGATGTATATGTAAATACACCAACAATGCTGAAAGGAAAATCACAGCTAGATCCTGAGGAAGTTGTTCATGACAGAAGAGTAGCATCAAAGCGTATACATATTGAGCGTATCATTGGTTTAAGTAAAGGCTTCAAAATTTTGAAAAAAGAACTGCCTCAAAGTAAGTTGCAGTTGGGATCACGTATTGTTTTTGTATGCTTTGCAATCTCAAATTTTAGAAACTGTATTGTTGACAAATATGCATGATTCTGTATACTACAGCTCAGATATGATGTTATCACAACTTATCCTGTGTGTGTACATGGCTACAATATACATACCAAGTTCAAAGAGTTGATGCAATGAAAGGTCTGAAGTATTTGGAATAGAACAATTCTAATTTTGGAATCATTGAATTGTAACAATAATCATGTTCAAGTTCTATCTTCTGCACAAACAAGTCACAAAAAGTGTATACAACAAAAAAGCAAAATTGTCTTTTTGTAATAAAAAGCTGACCTTGAACTTGGTAAAAGTAATTACTGTTGTTTTTCAAGACAATTTTCCCCTGTTCATTGTACATCAAGAAACCAAAATTTTTCCCAGGTTTGATTTTTTCATTGCGACCATTGTATGGACATTTCACTTCCACAATATAGTTGTGGTCAATGATAGCATCAGGTGTTGCACCCAAGAATGGTTTTTGTACATATATGAAAAATCCAGCTTTTTTTGTTTTGATTTGCATTTTTTTCTCAAAAGCTGCCATAGCTTTAGCTTCATAGTTTTTT